TGAACGAAGCTGCCTTAAGGAGTGATTATCCTAGCTTTGGACAAAGGTCATGCTGTAGAGTCTGTTGGCTAAGAAAGGAATTTTTTATTGCTACGTGAAAAACAACTACCTGCAAATGTCTGTTTCTGCAATTCCTATTTCTGTCAACATGCCTCTAACTGTGATGGGAATTTCTTTAGGTGGTCACCAGAATCAGAGCCATAATCAGGTGGTCGGCCAGGCTGTTACGGGACCCATAAAAGAATCATGTGAGTGCTGAGAGTCAAACCTAAGTCCTCTGGAAGAGCAACCAGTGCTCTTAATCACTAGAGTCATCTCTCCAACCTCTCCACCCCCCAGAACTGTCTGTAGGCCCAAAGGGGTTAATCTCAAGCACTATTTCATTTTGGGTTTGGGATTTTTTGGGGGGTGGGGTTTTGGGCTTTTCGACATGGGGTTTTTGCACTTTCTCATTTTTGGGTTTTGTTTGTTTGTTTGTTTGTTTGTTTTGAGACGAGGTTTCTCTGTGTAACAGCTCTGGCTGTCCTGGAACTATTTCTGTAGACCAGGCGGTCCTCGAACTCACTGAGATCTACCTGCCTCTGCCTCCCGAGTGCTGGGATTAAAGACATACACTGCCACTACCTGGATTTAGTTAGTTAGTTAGTTAGTTAGTTAGTTAGTTAGTTAGTTAGTTAGTTAGTTTGAGACAGGGCTTCTCCATGTATCCCTTGCTGTCCTGGAACTCACTCTGTAAAGGAGGGTGGCCTCAAACTCACAAGGTCTTCTTGCATCTGCCTCCCTAGGGCTGGGATTAAAGGCTTGTGTGACCACCACACAGTTTAGCACTATCTCATTAGACATAGTTTTCTGACAGAAAGTTAAATGCATGCCATTGAACAAACACATTTCGTACACATACATGACTGTGATGTCTGAGAACATAATGTAAGCATCAGTGGCCATTTCAGGCTTTTTTTTATTATTTGTGTGCCTCTGTGCGTGTATACACATGTATGCATGTGTATATGCATAGCCTCCTCCTTCTTTTTTCTTTTCTTTTTTTTTTTTTTTTTGTTTTTTGAGACAGGGTTTCTCTGTGGCTTTGGAGGCTGTTCTGGAACTCACTCTGTAGACCAGGCTGGTCTCCACCTCACAGAGATCCGCCTGCCTCTGCCTCCTGAGTGCTGGGATTAAAGGCATGTGCCACCATGAAGGGCTAATGTTGTTGCTTGTTTCTCCAGAGTCCTGAGATTACAAAGGTTTGCCATTCCACATGCTAGGAAATTTTTTAACAATTGTGTACTATAGCTGGGGCCCAGGTGTTCAAACCCAGGAGCTTGTGGAGGGCATTTAATATTCAAACACAACATGTCACAAAATATTATAATAGGATGTGATTAACAGCAGAACTTGAATTTAGTTACTTACCTCGTACTAGAAAGGACAGGCCCAGGGAGTCTGTGCAGGGGGTGTCGGTAAAGCTTTTGGCATCTGAGTGCAGAGTCAGACACGTATGTTCATGTTTCTGAGAAGAGTGGGCACCTTTTGTTAGATTATGAAAAGCTGAAGGGCAGAGATCACACCCTCTTGTCACCAGTGCTGTGTCTCCTTTCTCATGGAGTCCCCTCCTGTGTTGCAGGTGACTTCCCTGTTGACAACCCAGAAAAACAGCTGAGACCAGCTCAGGCCCAAGGCAAGCTGTAAGCAGTCAGTCCAGCGGCACAACAGCTGCACCCAGGAAATCTGCCCTGCAGGCCCCCTCTTTGTGCCACCATGACCCTCAGCCTCAAAGGAATGACACAGCCTGGGAAGCCTCCTACCGGCGCTTCAGTCAGTTCCAGTATGAAGAAGCAGCTGGGCCTCGAGAAGCCTTCTGCAAGCTCTGGGAGCTTTGCTGTCAATGGCTGAAGCCACAGATGCGGTCTGTGGACCAGATCCTGGCGCTGTTTGTCATGGAGAAATTCCTGCAAATTCTACCGGCAGACACAGAGGCCAGCACGCGCATGCTCAATGAGGCCAGAGAACGACTTTTCGCCCTGATAGAAGACCTGCGGAACGTGGACCCAGAAAACATGGTGAGAAGAGTGTTGTGTTTGTTGTTCTCAGACCAAAACAAGTGCCCAGGCAGCTGGGTCAAGATGAGACATTCTGTCCCGTGTCATTCCACAGCCCCCCCCCCCCCGCCCGCCTTCCCCAGAGTCCTTTTCAACCTTCTCTTCCATGGGAGTCAGCGGAAGTTGGCGGTACGGGTCATAGGTTAGGGGTCAGAGATCCCCCCTGTACCTGACCTCGTGCCCTCTCTACAACACACAAATGCCAATGCCTGGTTTGTTGTCCCTGAAGGAAATTGTAGGGCAACGTAAGGTACCAAAGCATCCCTGAATTTTTCTATTGTCTGCAAACTAATATTGATGATCAGTCAGATGGGTATGGGTGTCCCAAGATTGTAGCATAGATAGTTTTTGGTTTGTTTTTATTTTTAAGTTAAAACAATTGATTTTAAAAAGAGAGTGAATATCTGGGCAGTGGTGGCTCATGCCTTTAATTCCAGCACTCAGGAGGCAGAAGCAGGTGGACCTCTGTGTGTTCGAGGCCAGCCTGGTCTACAGAGTGAGTGCCAGGAAAGCCAGGACTACATATACAGAATAAATCCTGTCTTGAAACCACCCCAAAATAGGATAAAGATAGCCCCTATATCTCAAATTCTAATCTTTGGCTCTTTATATATAAACAGTTGGCTTATACTCAGTGAAATAGAACCTAGAAAAAAATATATATATAATTAAATATATATAAAAGGAAAAGTAAGTTTTATAAGCTATTAAGCTTTTCATCATAAGGATGTTTGGGTTTTACATCCATGGCCAACATCATAAAATGTTCACACGAGGCTTCTTCTCTACCCATAATTACTGTGATGGAACAATTCAGGAATTCAGACCAATGCCCAATGTTGTGAACACTCTTGCCTCTAGTCATCTGAAGTCTTGAGGTGGCAAACAAGTCTTGGGAAACAGTCATAAGTAACACGTTGCTCCAGCAATGTCACTGCTGTGTGTTTCTGAGAAAACCAAGTCATTCTCAAATATGCAAAAATATCTTGTTTCTACCTGTTCAACAAGATTCTTTTGCTAGATTCTTTCATTCTACATGGTAGTTTATGGAGGACATTCCGTATTTGGAGAACCTAGGAAGAGCTCTGCATTGTGAGTGATGCACCCACCTCTGGCCCATTAAAGTCCAATAGCACCACTTGCTAGCATATCCCAGAAAACCTCATGGTGGAGACAGCATTGCCTTCTGTTCAGAACCACCTCTTGAAGCTTCTGTTGAGGCAAGGCATGACTGAAAAATGTCCCTGGGAGGAACAACAGGAGCTCTCATGCTGTCTAGGGCTTAAGACCAGGGCTGCTCTGTAGGACCCATTCAATTCAGGTTAGGAGGTGGCCTGCCTAGGAAGCTGCCAAAGGCTTTTTATCAAAGGATAGGATGAGTGAGTGGCTCTCCCTCCCTTCTCTGTCTTCTCAATTTTATTAATTATATAAGATACTATCTTCAATGGCCTGGATATGTCCTGCTAGGCACAGGGGCCATAAGTCACTCCAGGTTCTTGAGCATTTGGAATATGGCAAGTGCACCTGGAAATCACCTGTGGATGTGAAATGCATACAAACAGAAGAAAGTCCTGTATGAAGGGAGCAGCACTCCTTCTATCCCCTGAACAAACTGCATAGTATTGAGAAAACAAATACAGAAAAGCATTAAGTCAAGAAGTCCAAGCTACAAGGTATAAATTCCTGATGGGTGCACAATAAGCACTGAGAGTCAGGTCCTTATTCACATCATGATGTTTATTAATTCAATTACCATTATGAGCACCTGTAAAAAGCAAAGCCTTAACCCTCCTGGGACCATAGTCATTAGAGCCTAAGCTGGGCTCATTCATGCAACAACTGCCCAGGTAGTCTCTATCACAGCACCGACTGGTTCACGTTGAGGCCAAAGGGAAGAGACCACACTCCCAGCAGAGGCAGGCATGAGGCCATGCTCTCTCATGCTCTTCCTTAGTAGTCCATAAGAGGATTTCCCAGTCATAACACTGTAACCCTGGAGAAGAGCATGCACCTCTTTTCTGCTTTGCTCCCAGAGTTACATTTATCCAAAGAATAAGAATATCTGTAACTGGGCGGGAGAGATGGCTCAGAGGTTAAGAACACTGGCTGTTCTTCCAGAGGTCCGGGGTTCAATTCCCAGCAACCACAGGGTGGCTCACAACCATCTTTAGTGAGATCTGGTGCCCTCTTATGGCAGGCAGGCATACATGTAGGCAGAACGCTTCATAAATAATAAATGAATCTTTAAAAAAAAGAATATCTGGAACTGCCTGGAGAAGAACCCTGAAAACAGCTGCTGACTGACTAAAGCTTAAAGTTTAGAGGGCAGTCACTTTACCTGTGGTCTTTAGGTTGACAGGTAAAAGCAGTGGCTGGTAGTTACTTGTGTTGCTTTCAACAAAATGCACTTCTTCTAAACTTCAGTGAAAATCAGAACGCACAGATAATGTGGGCTGGCTGCAAAATCAATGCAGTGCACACACGCGCATGCACACACACACACACACACA